GAGCTTGTATGGTTTGGAAAACTGACTTTTGAGGAGAAAAAGAAGGAGACCAGGAGGAGAATGAGTGAAGAACTAAGAGCCATGGAGATGGAGCGCAGAGAAAGAGTTGCTCTAGAGGCCGTGGAGAAGCTCGAGATGGAGCGTGAGGAGAGAGAAAAAGTGTCTGAAAGTCTGAGAAGACAGAAAGAAAAAGATGAGGAGGTGAGGAAGATGCAAGAGGCCAAACGGAGAGATGAGGAGGAGAGGAAGGCCAATGAACTTAAGGCCCTGCCGAAAGCTGAGACGCTTCAGTGGAGTATGCTCTTACAGGTGGATAAAGAAGATCAGGGGAAAAGTCCCAAGCACACCATAAAAGCTCTGGAAGAGGAGCAGCAGAGGAGGCGAGAGGAGGCTGGGCTCTGTTCCCTGCCAAGAGTAGGAGACAAAGCAAGGCCTGATCTCCAAACCTCTGAGCTCAAGGCAAAACAGCATCAGGGTAGAAAGAAACCCCTGATCAATAACTGGGTTGGAGAGCAGAAAATCAACAGTCAGCCTGATCCCCCAACCTCTGCACCACAGCATCAGGGTAGAAAGAAACCCCTGATCAATAACTGGGTTGGAGAGCAGAAAACAGACAGTGAGCCTGTCGAAGAAAAGCCCCACCAAAACAACTCCACCTATCTCCTCTTTGCTGCGAAGGCTGCACCAAAGTCTCTTACTTCAGACAAACCAGAACCTCCTAAAAGCAGCTCCTCACATGGGTGGACAAAGAAACTGAAAGTTGGTTACTGGGTGGACAAATTCCATCATAACCGAGAGAGGCAGGATGAGAAGAGAAAGCTCAAGACTGAGGAGCAGTATGCTTGTTTTACGGCCTACAAAGAGAGCCGAGCAGGACAATGATTGTCACAGTGGAGGATCTGCTGAAAACTAAAACAGCATCCTCTAATCCAGTGGTTCCCAAAGATAAGGGCCGGCAACCCCTGCTCTAATCCATGTCTTAGAAACAGATAGTCACCCTATCTCTTTCTAAGACACACAGGCTCAGGACCGAAAAACAAAAATCACTTGACAAACAATTAACAATCACAGAGAAGATTAAACATCCAAATATGAAATACAATTAAAATACAAAGATCCAAATAAATACAGAATTGACAATAATTGGAAAAAAATTATCAAAATAAAAAATATCAAAATTACCTCAAAGTTGTCATGGTGATGTGATTCTATCCAACGGGCACAGATTCACTTGCTAGTGTTGCCTTATTGATTGATTTAGGCTCACAGCGCATTATTGACGAGCGCATTATGGAGAGAAACGCACCAGAGGGGACGAGCTGACAACGTTGAAATTATTCAAAATGCAGAGGCTGTGAATGTTCAGTTCTGTTTGTCTATAAATAGGCAACAATATTAGTTCAATCATGGTGTTTCTCTTCGTTAACGATTATTGAATCGAAATAAGAAATAAATGCACGCCATTTATTTTTCTGTCATTCCAAACATATTAACATGTGTGGGGGAAAACGCGATCTTTATGCCTTCTTTTGTTGTGCCTCCTCCTATCTACAATAACAGCAGCCTTTTTGTGTGTAACACTGGTCTCCTGTATTAGCATCTTCCTTTCAAAGATGTTAAATATAGACACCGTCATAATCACTACAGTTTTTGTCAGGCTTGGTAAATCGCAATGCGTGTACTAACATAACTTATTTGCATTTTCTCCTCCCAATATTCTGCACGCTAGAGCAGAAACGCCCCATGTTGCATATCCTTAGACCATCCAATCGTGGAGCTTGACCGGCAGCCAACTAGTGGCTTCAAAATAAAAGTTCTGTGCCGAAATACATTTCACATGTGTGGCAAAATGATATTAAAATGACTACGTATTTGTATTAGTAATGAAGGTTTGCATATTGTTGTGTTGATATGTTGATTTATATTTACGGACCGATAGTCGCGTTAGCTCGAAGCTAGCTCATCGAACGGAGCTCAGACCGGAAGTATGGGCCATGACCCTCATTTTAGTATGTTGCTAACCACATACTAACGGTCGGGTTAGTATGTAGTTATATTTATTTTGGCTATGTAGTAGTCAGTATGTAGTGTGTGGTTTCAGACACATACTACATACGGACTGACGGTCGTGCTAGCTTGATGCTAGCTCATCGAACAGAGATGGGACCGAAGTATGTCACATATTTTAGTTTGTTGTAGTATATGTAGTAGTATAGTATATGTATAGTATATGTAGTATGTAGTTTCAGACACAGCTGTAGTTTCAATATTGAACAAGAGGTGGAATAATAATCTACTTTTGCTCCAAATATTAAAAGGCTAAACTGTGTATGACTCTGAATCCCACCAACAGAGACAAGAGGGGTTATTTGTCGCTTGTTACTTTTTATGGTTGTCTTTCTTAACCTCCCTTGTATTTTAACTACTCGTTATGAACATTATTTTGTCTGTATCACGACAAAGAAGAACACGGATGTTTTAAAAAAACAGGTTATGTAAAAAAAAAGAAAAAAAAAGAAAAAGCAGTCGAACCTGCTCTTGAGTTGCTCCTAATCTGTACACCACTGTTCTTCTGGTCCCGGCTGAGCTTACATTACGTAAAAGAGCTGTACAGCAGCTTTCATGTGTGCTTTTCTTTGCTGCATATACAGTCTGTTTGTATTCGCAGAAGTGTCTTGTGCGTGTGTTGCGCATGTGTTTGTAGGCCTGCATGTTTGGCGCCAAGGCGGTCGGGTGTTATGGCTAGAGCGGGTGATTCCAGCAGCAGCTTGAACGATGGGCAGAGCTCCTTGCTTCCTCTCCAATCTGTGCTTCCATCATGGAGCAATCAGACGGGTTTGATAACGCTCAATCTGCTGCCGCATCGCACAGATCTCCCTGTCTTCTCCTCACCCACTGCTTTCTTGCCCTCATTACCTTCACTCGTCCTCCTCCTCATTGCACTCTCTGACATCGTCTCATTAGCCTTATTCCTTCCTCCTGCTTACCTCTTCCTCTCTATTACGAATTTTATTCTCCTACTTATTATGTCTTATTCAGGCCTTTTTACCTTTGAGTAAGTCTGGTAACTGATCTTGAATTTTAGGAATTCAGTCCTTTAAAGACGGAATAGAATAAAAGGTCAGTTCAGCCACCTTACAAAACAGTGACACGCTTTACAGAACACGCCTTTTTTTTCAGATTAATTTTGGGCTTTATTTAGATATGGCCGTGTAGAGTAGGAGATCAAGAGAGAGATTGGGGAATGACATGCAGGAAAGGAGTTGCAGGTTGGACTTGAACCCTGGACGCCCTTTGAGGGCTAAGAGCACACTCACAGTAGGCCATCGGTACCGTTCCCAAGCAAGCTTCATCCTCAAAGTCCATTTTTGTTTATGCATAGTACACTTCCTTTGCCCTGGCACATTTGGACGAGTTGAGTTTTATTTCTGTATCTGACTTAAATAGAAAATAAAATAAGCCACAAAGTCTGTAAAGTTACAGGCTTGTTCTCTGTGTTGTTCTCCAATGTGCGGACGTAGACTCAACAATGCGTCCATTATTTATTTTATTATTTTTTGAGTCCGCTTCATGATCATGTAAAGCCATGTACAAGAGGTAACTGTGCTCAGGTCCGGTTAGTCCTGGAGCAGTGTGAATGCAGGCCAGCGGGGGGAATGGGGAGCGGGGTCAATAATTGCTTCAGTACAGTACGGGACAACTGGGCCTCGTGTGAGTGCGCACCTAATAGCCTCTGTACATGGGGCACCGCCAAAGCGCTAGCTAGGCCATCAGCGCCTCTCAAGAGGAGCTTTTAACTGCACAGGAAAAGTTTTATTTAAAGCGGTATTTACCTTCATTATGTTACAGCGGCAACGTGTTTAGAAGACAGATATCTTAAATCTTGAGACATGAAACTGAAACTATCTGCAAAACAAGATACCAAAAGCAGGAATGCAACAACTCTCAATATAATATTGAACAATTCGGTATGGCATCCATGCTTGTAAAGTGCTGTTCTACGGTTTTGCGGACAGGCTTCCATGCAAAGTATTTCTTTCTGAATTGGCTCTGTTTGTGTGTGCCTGTAAGTCCTTGCACTAGGATAAGGAAACCCCTTTCCAGCGAGTAAATATCCAATCACCATGCGCTAAAGTTAGGGAAGCTGACAACACTACACACATTATACTTTTACATGGCAAGGGAAGTATTATTCAGTTTCTGATTGATGACACAGAAATAGGAAGAAGCTGTCACCGTTGTTTAAAGTTGCTTTAATTGTAGGCATTACCGCTTCCTGGCAAACAATGCAAGGCAGTTTATAAAAAACACAGCAAGCAGGCCATCAGGAGTTATATAAGGAGTGAATGAGAGGAGAATAAAATGTCAAGTGGTGGTGTAAAGATTTACAGATAAGGTTAAGCTCTTGTATTAATCTAACTGATTTCCTGTTCTGCCCACAGCTTGTCATCGCAATGGCCTGTTGAGCAGTCAATTACTCTTTAATGCCTCCGAATATTATTGAAGAAGGTTTCATGTCAAGAACATAAATAACAGATACACCAGAAAACCCGTTTTTACCCACAGTATAGGAGTCTGAAGATGTATAGAGCTGGAGAGTAGTAAGAATTGAATGGTTAAACTCAATGGTAATAAATACAGTGGGTTTAATTGTGTAATGATTTAAGAAAATTAATTTTAGAGTGTAAAATAGATAAAAACTGTTTTCCACTTTCAGGAAAACAGCTCTTGATTTTTATGTTGATCACTGTGACGCTGCCGAAGCTGTTTGAATGTTTCTCTGATCTCCCAGAGAAGGAATGTCAGAACAATAGGTGTTTCTCTTTGTCGAGCTTCCTCAGCTTCTAATTTTAAACAAGACGAGCGGAAGAAGAAGAAGACAAGGCATGACAAGGTGGTGCAACAAATACCTTCCTAGTTTATCAGACATTAGTCAAACATTCCAGTGTACCTCTCTTGCGACACATTTGAATTCAGTGCATGTGTGTGTCTGTGCGTACCTGTGGCGAGCAGCTTGCGTGTGCGAAGGAAGCTGATAGCCAGCCTCATGATGGAGGCCTTGTCCAGGTGAGCGCTGACGTTGTGGGGGAAAGGCAGCTGGTGAGCGAGGTCGTAGAAAACCTCGGTCTCTTTGCTGCGCCTGCAGCGAGCCGCATCCCGAGACTTCTCTTTACGCCGCTCTGAGCTGTTCCTGGATGGGCAGAATCAGAAAGAAGGACAGTTACATCTTCAGGGCATTTATTTTGTTACTTTAGAATGTTTTAAGTTTCATAATTTCCTGAAATCAATCCGTCCTGGAAATTAGTTTTTTTTACATCCTTGAGATGGTTCCTGTATGAATGCACTCATTGTACCGGTCTCTTGACATTACTGAGACTCCAGCATGAAGAACCCAATGATAAATGACAGCTTCATAGATAATTTTACTGAAGTTCACTCAGAAGTGGAAACACAAGAAGTGTTTTAGAATAAAGAACATGGATGTGTCTGTTCTCTGCAAGTCTCAGACAAGTGGAGTCTCAAGTCTCTGCTGGCACAGTTCAGCTACACTTTAAGACATAGACCTATAAACCTGGTGGAAAAAAACACATTGGAAAAATTCTAAAAATATTAAAGAGCCTGTGATGTTAAAAAAAATGAAATGCCAACCTATCAACTACTACAGATTTGATTTCAACACAGACGATATCGAGAAAGAAAAATAGGACAAAGAGAAATATTCAGTATTTGAGTTACAGTGACATACTGTATAAAATAAGAAACATAGATCTATGACTATTTGCTTATTTGTTTTAAGACATTTACTTACATTTTAATAGACAATAAGGCCACGTTTATCTATGCTATCCAGTTCGTTAAAGGAATTAAATTTGACTTCATTTGACGATTTTATTATCTCAAATTGTTACAAAAAAAACCCACTTGAATAAATGTTTATTTGTATTTTAATGCTTTTCTAATCAGTTTCCTCTATCCTCTCAGCCTTATAGCTTAAAAAAAAGCTATATATTAAAAATATGATTAATTATATTTAATGATATCTCAGATGACTTTAGGTACTGATGTGTCCAGTTCAGTGTGTTTATTTGATCAATTTGTTCCTTTTTGATTTGGATTGAGCAAGCACTTTATTTGATTTGACTACGTGTTTGGAGGCCAGCCACCATGACGCTCCACGTGTGGGTTTAAGGCTTTAAATAAATAAAAAGCAATTTGTCTCTAAAAGGAAACCTCAAAGTGGACAGCAGTTTAGAGCTGCTGAGCTTTGTGGTTATTTTCATTTCATCAGTATTATTCTGTTGTTTAAGACAAGATAGAAACATTGGGTCAGTAATACTTAGAAACTAAGAAAATCATGTCTATAAACACTTTGACACCCACACAGTGCCAGCCAGCAGAACTCTGGATTACAACAGTTACTTCTCATGTGAGTGACCATCTTGTCTTACATCTTTTCCACAAGTGTTTGATAACTGCAGTTGAGGGATCACCACAATAATGTGTGTATATATACTGTATATCTATCTCTAAAGATTGAAATAGATCTAAGTATCAGATTTTCTCTCTCCCAACATCAATATCTGTATCGGCACCAACAATACCATATCAGTAGATTATAGATTACTATAGATTACATCCTCTTTAACATGTCTCCATACCACCATCATTAAAGACATGATAGTTTTAATCTTTGAAAGAACAAAGTTCTGGGAACACAGATACATATACATAATGTAGCAACAGGTGTGCCACCAGTCAAAAGTGTGGACACACAACAGTAACAGTATTATCAATTATACAGTATATTACTGTAAATCATTATATTATAGCTACTGTAAACTGTACCCACTTTTTTTTTTTCCACATTTTATAATGATAGTAGATGTTTAAATAAAACAGTTCATTTCATTTTTGTTTTGGAAAGAAATGCATACATACGTAGCTATCAGCTTCACTATTTCTATTTATATAAGAAACACAAGTCAAACATTTAAGCATAAGCCTTTTGATCAAAATGTTTTTGAGACAAGAACATGCATTTCAATCAGGCGTGTCCAAACATTTGACTGGCACTGTCAAGTGACTAGAATTCAGAGGGAAAGATTCAACGCCTGAATGTGTGAATAATGCTGCACCCGCAGGTGAGAACTCTTTCAAATTTTGCAGAAATAACAAAAACTGTGTCAACCAATTATTCACCTTATTCACAGTTTGAAAGTTTGGGATTAATTGCAACAGTTTTTATTTTTTTCTACCCAGGCAGTGGTTTACACCCAGCACAATAAAACTGTTATCAGCCCGGAGAACATCTTTAATACTTCCGCTGTTGCTACATTTTTATTTTCAAGGACCTCGGGCGTTACAGAAAGGCCATTATTCTGTCACCACAACATGAAATGTAGGAAGTGTTAACAGAGTGCCAGTCAACTCCAAGCCTCACCGCTGGTCTCATAAAGAGCAACATGAGTCCCACGAGGAGGATTAAAGAGTTTGTATTCCAAATTCAACTGATGTCTGTGTTTCACAGCATCAGAGCGAGCATGTTGTGTTTTAACACGTGCAGAGCATGAAATCAGATTAAGGTTAAAGACATCTGGCTGAACAAAGAGCTTCTCAGCGTCTGATCTGTCTGCAGGCTCTGTGACGATGATAACTTCAAAAACCACAACAGATGAGGTGAGGCTCTGCTGAACTCTAGATGCTCTCCTGACTCAGTGGTGACACCGTGCTGCTTATCACTGGGGGATCAAAAAGCTGCTACAGGACTGCAAACAGACAAACATTTTATCAAATCAATTCAAAAAAAGGAAAAGTACCGGTAAGTAGCAAACACAACTTGTGTGCGAAAAAAACAAAACAATGGGGCCAAACTAGCGACGAACAAGTTCTTTGGAGAAGACTGAAAACAATAAAGATAACAAAATAAATGATAGATGGAATACTGAAAAGCACATCATTACATCAAAATGAACCCAATCTGAGCTGTTTGTTTCAAATGACGTTCCACAGAAATGATCAAATGTCATTTCAAACGGAGTAGAGAGTAATCTATCTTCCTGTTCTCGAATATTTACCTGAACACCTCGCATATTCAACACTGCTATAAAAACACAGGGAAATGTTAAATCAGATGTTATGTTGCATTCATGTGCTATCAGAATAATCTGGAAAAAAAAAAAAAAAAAGATTGTCTTGCTTTGAAATTGCACATAATCAGACTGTTGAGAGAAGCAATGAACGACTTGCTGAGTTCATGTCGAATTAGAAGAAACCTGGTGGATGAAAATAAATGGTGGGTTGATGAAACTAAAAACATCATGAAAGGAAAGTTTTTTTTTTTATTCCCTCATTTGTAATTTGACTTTTTGTATTTAGTTTTGACTGCAGGTTGATGAGACAAAAAATGGCCAGATATTGTAAGGATCTTTTCTGTAATGCTGTCAAACACTAAACTATCTGAGCCTGTCAGTGGGAAAAACATGCCCTGTCACTGGCAATTACCACATCCTCCATGCGCTCACTACAGCACAGTTCGCTGCCACACCAGTCAATACTCCAGTTTCCACAGCGAGCACCATGGTCCATCTCCAACGCGTTCACTTACGCTCTGCTCTGTTTCAAATAAGCTCCAATAATATGTTTGACGGAGCCCGCTGCAATCACGTGTCCATCCTAATATAATAGATCGACCCAGAGAGGGAGTCAGACAAGGAAATGCACAGAGCATCCGGTCAATTTCAAAATAAAACACAATACACGGACTCAGTGGCAAAGACGGAGCACAGCACGCACTGTGGAAATTGGAAGTTAATGATGTTCTTTGATCAGGCACTTTGTCTCACACGGATAAGCCAGCTAAAAGCTTCTGAGGCCGAAGCAAGATGTCTTTTAAACAAATGTTGCATCATCATGACGATTAAAGCAATCAACAACTTCATCTGAGCCACTGCAACTTAGTACTAAATGTTCCTACAACTGCAGGTATGGTATCAAAGTCAAAGGAAAGCTGTAATTGTTGAGAGAGAAAACTTGTGTTTAGTTACACTCTGAAGCTTTGTGTCTTTGAGTTCTTTTGAATTCGTACCAGTTTTTTTTTTAAATTACCTCAGTTCAACCATCATCACTGCCAACATTAACAAAAACACACACACACAACCTGACACAGTCACTGAGTTCTGAAAAGGCCGACATGTTCTCTTGTTCTCTTTCACAACCTTCTTCTTCCCTTTAAATTACACTGTGGCATTTTTGATTTAATGACTTAGCTTGAATTTCTACTACACATGTTAAGAGTTCTTTAGAAGACAACATCTTGTAAGATTGTTGCCCTAGATTAGTTTCGATTAGTTTAGGTCCGTGTATTTATCACAGAGTGGGCAGAAAGAAAAGGGTGTCAAGGATTAACTGAGGTGAAGAGAATACAGTTACAGTGAGGGAAGCAATCAAAGCAACTATCATGTTTCATATGTGGCAAGTGTTGTGGTGGGGTTAGCGACAGGGGAATTCTATAATGACTTAAACAGTGAGTCTGTTTTGACTCATTGCATCCTGTATACATCCAGTTTAAATGTTAAAATAGGGGGATTAACGAGGCTGGAATCTGCACAGAACAGTATCTTAAAGTACCAAACAGCATAAATGCTGCAGCAAAGGAGCAGCAAAGTGTGGCCCCATGTACGGAGGCTATAAATCAAATCAAGTCAAATCAAGTTTATTTGTATAGCACATTTAAAAACAGCTTCATCCGACCAAAGTGCTTTACAGGCAATGCGTAAAAGCAAGAAATCATGTAGACATATAGTCCTCTAAGTGGGCAGTCCAGGCTCAAATCCAACCTGCAGCTCCTTTTTCTTATGTCATTCCCCATTCTCTGTCTTTCCCTGATTTCCTAATGTATCCAGTGTCCTATCAAAATAAAGGCCAGTAAAAGCCCAATAATAAACACTTTTATCAACTTCCACCTCATAGGATGAACTTATTTTTCTTTCAACACATATTTAATGTAGATTGTAACTTCTTTTATTAGGGATTTTATTTTGAATCTTTGGAAACTATTTTCAAACATGATATAAAAAAAAAAAAAAAGCACTTCAACCCAGGGATCCAAAAATTGTTCCATCTTCTGTGAATTAAATGAGAAATGTCATATCTGGGGACTCAGAGTTTCTTTACTAACTTAAACTTTTTCCA